GCTGTAGGAGGGGGACAGCTGAAAATGGAGGCCCCCACCTCTGTTTAATGATCGACGGTCTTTCTTTACAAATTGTCCAGAGGACCTATACAATTTTTTTCCTTTTGATTTTTTACCTGGATTACTGAGATGCATCAGGAGATGTGATTTCTAAAGCAGTGAGAGAGACTGAACGAAAAAAAAAAAAAAACCACAAAAATGCCTTGAATTTGATGTATAATTTGTATATGTACTAAAAAAAAACAGCAGTGAGAAGAATTTGTTAAATGTTGGACAGCTTAGATGGCTCAAAAGTATGTCTGACCTCACCTGGTAATTATAGTTTCTGTGGAAAAAATGGCAAAAAGTTATAAAACTGTAACTGCAAATGTGTAAAAACAAATATTAAATGTCAGTTCAGTCGTGTAAAGTTTCTGTGACCTGTTTAAATTTTTCCTGTGTCTTCAGTGATGCATGCTGGAGCTGCACTCCAAACATAACTTTGTTTCCTATTTGTTTTGTCAAAATCCTGCTGTTGTGTAATGCTGGGATCACACGGCAAGATTACTGACAATTTTTTACCCAGTTTTAAGAACTCTTCAATTACCGTGATGGCTCTAAAATAATCTTAGCAGATATTCCTGCTGTGTGTGGTGTGTTAAGAGTGATCTATTCAGCTCAAAAGAACATCATAATCCAAAATACAGAAAGCAAAAACATCTGCCATGTGCACCAGAAAGTCCAGTGGACAACAGAGACGTCATTTTGTTTTTTCTCTGTTAAAAATAATCCTCCAGCTACAGTATCACCATTGATTCTTCCTTGTCAGCCGTGTTTATTTACTCTGAACTCACGTGTGATCTCGAAGGGTCTCATGAGATTTCCCTTCTGACATCTGAGTGTGAGTAAAATCTGTTCTTTGCTGTGTGTCTGTCCATTCCACGCTGTAGGACTAAACCTGTTATATCCATTCTTTTTGATTGTCATGAGTGGGATCTCTCAGTCTTCGAAATTCATCCGACAATTTAAAAATCTTGCCGTGTGAACCTGGCATAAGAGGAAATTATTAGTTGTTTTTTTTTTTGCTAATTTCATCTATCTCATCCAATGCACTGCTCCTAAAATACACAGCACATTACTCCTGATTAAGCCACACATTTTGTTGCATAATTAGATTTATTTTTCAGCTGTAGGGCCTGAAAACTGACAAAAACTGTGAGCAGAATAAAAAATAAGGGTGCCTCATTGCTTATGCACCCGCACCCTTAATGATCCAGTAATGATGGTCCTGACAGTGGAGCTGGTAGTGTTTATGTCACCAGTGCTAATTGGTGATGATGATGATGATGATTGTGGTACCGCTTCAGGTTTCCGAATGATGGAGAAGTTTGGCCTGGTGGAGAAAGAATACAGCGCCATAGCTGGAGTTTCTCTGGAGCCCGGTTCCTTCAACAGCTACCCCTGTTACAGGTTACACCGGGACGCTCTGGTGCTGCAGCCCACAAGGTGAGGAAGGGCACACGAAGGTAGAAAAACATTAAAATTCTGCTTAAAGGAGGATTTATTTTCATTCCTGCTTCATTTGGTGAGCAAATGGAGCTTCAGCATATCATCTTGTAAGATCTAAATTAGCTAAACCTCCGGCTTCACTTCTTTTCATTCTGTTGTACTGAATTACTGCTGATCTTTTCTCCTTATAGATTCAGGATTTTCCTTCTGCTGTCAAATTCATTATTCACCCACATGTAGACAAAAACAGTGCAATTTTTAAATAGTTTCAAACTTGGTCGACAACTTTAACTATTGGTGTGTGATTGGTGGACATGGACTTCTGTTTCTTTAGGTCCAAATGCAAATAGAATGAATGTTTAAGATATTTTTATATGTATTTTTTTTAAATGTACACAAGTAAATAAGTATACCAGAACATAAAACCAAAACTGAGCCCGAAGCTTTTAGTTTGCTTCAGTTGGGCTCCTGTGATGTTTTCCTCCCTGTGTTGTTGTCATTTTATGAGCTTTTTCCAGCTTTTGCTGTCAACAAGCTGTAATTTTACCGTCCTCTTGTGTGATTGCTCCATTTTTTGAAAAAAGTTGGCTTCGAACAGTCTGAAAAGTTAGGGGCGACATTTAAAACAGAAACGCTCGGAGGCAGTTACTCAAAAGTCGCTGTGATCAAAAAGAGGTTTTGGTGCTCAGAATCGGTGCGAGAGAAGCAAAAAGCAGCAGCTGAAAAAAGACAGGTGGAACTTTTAAAAGACATCCAGGAGCACACGTGGCTTTAAAACACAGCTAACCCTGCTGTGTGTGTGTGTGTTGTTTTTATTTTGTGCCAGGTACCTTCATCCTGAAGGTTTACCATCTGACTACACCATTTCTATGATGCTGCGTTTACTTCCTGAGACTCCGCAGGAGCCCTTTGCATTGTGGGAAATCCTCAACAAAGACAACGAGCCGATGGTTGGCTTGATTCTTGACAGTGAGTCTGAAAAACCTTTTGCATTTTCGCTCCTTTTATTTTCTTTCTTCCAAATAAACAAAGAAAGTTTAGAATAATTTGTGCAGTGACTTCACACAAATAAGTTGTTTTGAACACAATGTATCTCTAGAAATAAAAGAAATATCAACCCCTCCTCAACTGATTAAAACTGAGCTCTTTTGTTTAGACTTTATTGTTTTAAACCAATCTTGGGTTGAATTAAGGAAGGAGCTTTGTTGTAGAGTGACTTCAACATACCAGCTTTTTTTTTTTTTTGATCAACTTATTTCTTATAAATTCAAGGGTTCAGGTCAAAACAGACTGAAACATAATATAATTTAACCAAAAAGATACATTTTTAACATCATTTTGATTTGTTTCTTACTTAATATGTACTCAGAAACTATCTTGTTTTTAATCATTGTTCAAAATGATTTGTTTTTGTATAAAAAATACAAGAGGTTTCCTTTATATTCTGATCATGTTGTAACTAATATTTATTGCCACTAATAATGTTATTGGCCTAGTGAGAAAAACAGTGAMTAAAACTTAAGTGAAATGAGTGAACTTGTATGCTTGTTGCTGAAAGCCTGTGTGTAAATGATGTTTGTCTTGAACCTCACCACTGGTCCTGTTTTTGCCCACAGACTCTGGAAAGACGTTGGCTTTCTTCAACTACGACTACAGAGGAGACCTCCAGACCGCTACCTTTGAGGGATCAGAAATTAAAAAGATTTTCCATGGCAGCTTTCATAAGGTTTGTTTCTGAAAACTGTGTGCTGAAAACAAAATTAGTGGACAAATATTAAGAATTAAGTGTACAGACAAATTCTTTAAATGTTTTAAGATTTGAGAGTTTAGAATAAAGGTTCAGAGTGATGTGATGAATCATGGGCAGAAGTGCCCCTGTCTTGTCACTCATATATTCTTTGCCTGAGAGCAATGACGGTGGCTGCAGTTCCATGCCCAACCGCTAGAGGCGCTAATGAGTCAAACAGTAAAGTCCAGCATGAATCAATCTTACAGAAGTCTTCTTCTCTTCTTTAAAAGACTTGAACAGTTTTGCAGAAAATATCTTTCAGCTGGCAAACAATGGCTTCATTTTCTCACATGCTTTGAAAATATTTTATCCATGTACAGTAAAAATGCATGTAAAATTGATGAGGATAATTTAAGCTTTTTTAATAATATTACATTACATTACATTGTTGGAACATGTGTGACCGGTTAATTTTAYACACATTACCAAAACTGAGAATTTATGTGCAAAGACATTGAATAAATACTTGGCCCTTCTATGAATATTTTGGCCCCTTGATGGCCCCTTACTCAGAAAAATCYTAGATCCGCCACTGCACTGAATCCCTGCAAAGTGTTGAAGAGAAACACATATGGAATTTAGTTATAGTGGTGTAAGAAAAAAGCGGACAATAATTGGAAGTTGGAATGAGTTTGCAAAAAAGCAAGTTCATCCTCTTCTAAAAAWTTTAATCTGAAATCACTCCTGTCAGCCAGGCCAGAGCCTGTGAGTTTGGGGCCTTGGGTCTTATCAGAAACTAAACAAAAACAAACCCTCTCAGCAGCAGCAGATGCTTGCTTTAAGGAATGAATCACACTTCTAAAGTCACATGTACATAAACCAAACTTCCTGGTCACACCCCAGGGGGCGGTACCTTATACGTCAGACCTTAGAATTTAAAACAAGCTTTGTTTACCCTGTGGAAGAGGGCCACAGTGATAGAAACATACTGACTCACTGTTTAAAGCATATGACTGCTCAAGGTGTAAAATACAAGTGTGTATCTTAAGTTCAGTTAAAAATACACAAACTTTCCTTCAGTGGTTTTATGATRTTGTGAACCTTTACTTACAAATGGCTCATTATGCTTAGTTTTATAGGAATGAAGTTGCATCAAACTGAGCAAACTGGGCTAAAATGCCAAATTCAGATGACATTTCTCCAACAAAAACCTTTTGTTCTTGAAAGAAGGAGTTTTGGAAAACTAAATTAAAAATAAATTATGGAACAAACATTCCCATCAGCCTGCTGAATAAATAATGGCATTGATTTGGCCTCAGCGGGCACAGTAAATGACTTATTCACAGTACGAGACACTTTGGCATGAAAAATCAGCCGCAGACAYGAAAAACTGTTTGGTGAGAAACAATCAGTCCTCACAAAGGTGTTCTCTGAAAAAAAATTCACATTTTATTAGAAATGCATGTGTTGTTTTGTCAAGTTTTACTTTTTTTTTTTTTTGGGAGATATTTTTTTCTCGTCTCTAAGCAGCAGCTGTTTTTTTTTAATCTCTACAAACATACAGCAGCCCACCAGCCTTTAGCTGTCTTTCTTTAGCTCAGTTCTGAAAATGTGTGGGAGTGGCTGTCCATCATTGTGTGTCTTTTGTCTTTGTCGGAGTACTTGACAACATTCAGAAAAGGGAACAGATGCAGAGGACTGCCAGACCAGAGGAAGTGTTCGTCTCCATTTAGACAGGATGACAAGTGAACCAGGAGTGTGTGTGTGTGTGTGTGTTTGTGTGGCCTTTTATAAAAAAGATTACCATATGAAGACACGGTGCGTTAAAGCAGGAAAAAACAGCAGGATCTGTCAACACTCACTGAAGCGCAGACAGACCCACAAACTGAGAAATAAAACCGATACAGGTGAGAGAGAGAAATAACTAGATGTAGCTCTCTGTTTGAGACACGAGGACAAACAGTCAGAAAATGTACGAAGGCATGTTGATACAGAAGGATTTCTTCACTTTCCCACACATGTTGCTCAGAGATACAGATGTTGATCTTGTGCCTCCCCAAATTAATAACACCCCAGTAACTAAAAAGGTACTGCAGTATTTAAAGGAATAGTCTGGATATTTTGAAGTGGAGTTCTGTGTAAACATGAGTACATACAGTATCTTATTTGTTGTAGATGGCTGTTTGAACAAGATTGACAAGCTAAAAACTAATCCAAATCAAAGCATAAAATGGATAGCTGCCATCCTAAAATAACTCTAATCTATAAAGTTTTTTTGAATTACATATCCTGAACCTTTACATTACTGTGAATTTTTCTTTGCATTGATCTGGTTTAAAAAATCTTTTAATGCAAGAAGTTCCCTCAAGCTGCACCAGAATTGCTACAGCTAGCTGCTTTTGTGCTCACAAAAGTTTTATAAGTATCAGTCAGAGTTAATGTCAATTTAAGCTGTGCACGATCAACAACGGGTTAGGTAAAAATCATTCATAATCTGCCCACAGAACCTTGTTTTAAAGATCCTGAACTGTCTTATGATGGTATTTATGTGCTTTTTTCACGTTTTTGAAAGTGAAGAAAGTGTGTTTTCTTTTCTGTCATGGTTCCGACAGAAGGAAGTAAAAGTATCATCACCAGCAGATGAATCATGATACAGAAAATTAAACTGCACTGAAAAGTTTGAAACGTTTCTACAGTTAATCTACGATACTTTAATTAAAGTGTACAGGTCTGTAGCTATAGTGTAATACAGAAAAAAAAACTAATGGAAAAGTTAAAGAAAAAATAAAATAAGATGACATCAATTAGTAATTTAAATGAAAATAATCTGAGCTAATTAGACGTTAAGGATGACTCTCTGCTACTAAAACAAGGTTTAGCTTAATCTCTGTAGAACTAAGTTAGCTGTGGCAGCCATCTTGAATCAGGCTGACTCCACAAGTTAATCAGTTGCACAACAAAGAACCAGTGGTTCAAGATACATTTTGCTAACAGACAAGCGCACACAATTGCACCTTTTATGGTGACAGGCAAAAACAAATCTTATTCTCTAAATAGTATTTTATTTTATTTATGAGCACTGACAGGTAGGTAGAGCAATAAAATGTTATATTTTAGACACATGCTCGTTCTATGCTTTGTAAAGATTATAAAAACCCTCATTTGTTTTTCATTCAAATATAATTATAACAGGAGAAATGTTTAGAAGGGTGCCTTTTGTTGTTGGCAAGGTAATTTATTTTTTGCATAACTTAAACGTGCTAAATTTTCTAAAGTAGACCTGTTTTAGCATAAATTTCAGTTAGTGCAGGAGTAAATGAAGGAAACACACAAACACAAATACACACTCACACTCGTTTCATTCCACAGGCTCTTCTCCGTCTTATATTTATTCCCTAACCACTAACATTAACCTTAACTTAATGCCACAAAATACCAGCAGATCGTCTGCCCCTCCGAAGGTTTTTTCGTGTTTTTTTCTTCTGTTTAGTGAAGTGTGCAAACAATCTGTGGATACAAAGAAAGATATTAAAAAGCAGCTGTTCAGAAAGCTGCAGAATAAGGAGCTTAGACACTAAATATGAACTTTAGCTGCAGTTTATTTCTACATAGGGAAGGAGGTTTATGCTGCCATGACCTAAAGTGCATATTTTTATATTTTAGCGGAGGATGAGCATGAGATGTAAACCCCCCCCTCATGGTGAAACATGCAGACACTAATGGTCCAGTTTATTACTGTCCTTCACCAGATCCTTTCCTCATTATCTGAACCACCGGCTGAATGTGATGGTTCATGGCTCGCGCTGCAGTTTTCTCTAGGCAGTTTTAGCTCCCAAACAGCCAGCTGCTCTGAGTTGTTGGTATTCATTTACTTTTACACATTTTTTGAGGAAAAAAAAAAGAAAAATAATCACTTCCAAAAAAAAAAGGCGAGGGTAATTAGCATCTTGTTGTTTAAACATTGTTTTTACACTAGCTGTTTTTTGTTCTGGCTGATTCAAGCCAGGGATAGTACGATGGAGTATTAGGCCCACACAATGAGATTTGTTTTATCATTATTATGAGATGAAAGTCGAAATTTTATGAGAATAAATCATAATATTACTAGATTAAATTCGTAATACTACGAGAAAAAAAGCCATAATCTTACATGACATCCATTTTCCATCCCTCATTTCCTCCTTATTTTCCTCACACACAGCCATGTGTCCATGTACTGTATAAAGTAGTCTGCAATGATTTGTGTCACTGTTAGTGTTAAATGATTTCATCCAAATTCGCTACGTGCCGACTAAATTTGTCATTGCATCCATGAATTACAATACGGCTTCAGTTTATACTTGTTTGCAAAATTTCCAAGTCCTGCTACTGATAATTTGATGCTAATGTGCAGATTAAAGATTAACTATTTATTTTTAAGCATTACTAAAGAACAACTTGACAAGTTGCTCAACATTCCTCATTTTAATGCAGTGGTAACTGCATGCTTTTTCATGTAAAGGCTAGAATATTGTGACTTTTTTCTTCTAATATTGTGACTTTAATCTCACAATATTACGACTTTATTCTCATAATATTATGACTTTAATCTCATAATATTACGACTTTATTCTCATGATATTACGACTTTATTTTCATAATATTATGACTTTAATCTCATATTATGACTTCAATCTCATAATATTACGACATTATTCTCATATTATGACTTTAATCTCATATTATGACTTTAATCTCATAATATTACGAGTTTATTCTCATAATATTACGACTTTATTCTCATAATATTATGACTTTAATCTCATAATATTACGACTTTAATCTCGTAATATTACGACTTTATTCTCATAATATTATGACTTTAATCTCATAATATTACGACTTTAATCTCATAATATTATGACTTTAATCTCATAATATTACGACTTTATTCTCAATATGACGACTTTAATCTCATAATATTACGACTTTATTCTCATAATATTATGACTTTAATCTCATAATATTACAACCTATTCTCATAATATTATGACTTTAATCTCATAATATTACAACCTAT